GTATATATATATATATTGCAAGGGCTCCGGAATTGGAGAGCAGAGCGATGCAGTCTTACTACGTTGTATGTACTCAAAGTGCAGTTATAACAAAAACTGCCCTTTTTTTAAATTTAATTAAGATTTGCTTTTCTAGCGAATATTTACTCGAGCGTGCGCGTGTGACGAATTGCCAGTACAACCGGTCACAATTTCTACACACGATCCGTTCACCGAGTGTGTGCTTGTGTCTGACTATTGGGTGTCAGGAATCAAGCACATATGATTTTTGTCCTACGTTGTATGGATTCACTGGCAAAGTGGTATAACCTATGCCGTTGTCTACCATCAGTGCATACATGTGTGTTTTAACAACCAGTACATACAAACACCAGCAGTGGGTACCAATAGAGGATGTTATTGTCTACCATCTGCGCACACAACGGACAGGGGCGCTGTCTCAGGGCCTTTGAGTATAATCTGTTTCAATCCAGTCGAGCTAGAGTTGTCGTACGTACACAGATAATCATGGTCAATTGTGTGCGCGTAACTATCTATGCCTGTCGTCTGTACGCTTATGGTTACGTCGTGAGCGTTGCTTGTATTTGGCTGGATGTACGGGCCGCTTGGTCGGCGGCGTATTGGACGGGTGGGTCGTTGAGGGCCTATATAGGAAAGATGTGGTAGGTTAGTATGTTGTATAGAGGGAGTATGCGAATTTGAACCCATAGCATGGTGTATACATCAGCAAACATCCTTGATATGAAATACTACCTAACCTGTGCATACATTCTATCTGAACCACTCTTTTACATTCTAACCCAATCCCACGAATGACCACATACGTATGTTGCATATACTGCGTGCCGAATATCTTATACAATCGCATAATCGCCTAAACAGCCTCATTTATATAGCAGTGGACTTTACCGCAGCCCCACTCTGTCGTCCACATGCGTGTGCACACCGTATACATACGATGTCTTTCGAATCATAGTGATTCAGTGCGGCTATCCGTAGTTATGATGTATTAACCATTCTTTCTCAGTTTATGTGGGGTTGAAGTATCTATAGGCTTACCTGATGATCGGCGCCCGCTTTTAGATAGTTCCTCCTGCAGCCATGGGTGTCTGAGGGCATGTTCTGCGGTCCATCGAGTGTCCGAATATTGGAGACATCTGTGTTATTAGGGTGGATTACAAACAAACTTGGTTTAGAGAAGACATAATATGACTCGGAAACTATAGAAACACAAACAATATGGAATACATACTAAGCTGTTTGTTTGCGACATCGATATATATAGCACACGCTGAGTGATAAAAGGATACATAAACCGCTCTAAATGCGCTCGGCGACATCCCACGTTTACTCAATCAATTGCAACACACGTGTGAAGACTTTGCGAGGCGGAGGTGCACTTATATTAGTGTTCGTGAGTGTGTGTGTACCACTACTCACCTCTCAACAAAATCGATAAACTGGGTATCGGCCCCAAACAGCATATTCTTCAGTGTCTTCACACCCACGGCACGCGGTCGTCTGTTCTTCCCATAATGCAACCGAGTGTTGACTCTGCCTTGGTCGTCTACATACGTCTGCTTGTACCGAGACGCATCACTGCAGCCAGCCATAGGAATTGACAGACGATTGCGAATGAGTACAGATCGGTCTATTCGTGGGTTCAGGTTCAGATTCAGACTCAAGAACCACTTGGGCGCGGCAAATTGAAGATATAAATATGTCTGAAGATAGGTCTGATTTGTATAGCAGTGCAATTGCGCAAACACGCTGACATACATATTAGCATGTATTTGATTGCTTAAAAATGCTTACATAAGCAGGCATACAGAATACGCAAGTTATGCCAACGCACAAATAACTTGTGCATATGTACCGTTGTATAATACAGCAGCGCACAACTTAAGTGTACATACTCACGTACATATACACATATGCACATACATGTGATTATGTGGTACATGTCCTAGAACCTCCATAATGCTGTAGAGCTGATCTATTTCATCTTCACCGGGGAATATTGGTACGCCAGAGTACATTTCCGCCAGGATGCAACCGAGACTCCACATGTCGATTCCTAATCCATACTTCAGACCCAAAATTACTTCCGGGGCACGGTAGTACCTACTCTGAACGTACGTGTTGTCTGTACAATGAAAGTTGGAAACGAGCATTTCAATGAGTACAGTAGGAAACGAGTATCTTGACATATTTACACACACATATTTATATATAGGTATATATATATGTGCATATATACATATATACATATATACATATATACATATATACATATATACATATATACATATATACATTTATGGTATACATAAAACTATACATATATACATATAGAGTGTACATATACATATACAAATACATTTATACATATACATATACATATACATTATATACATATACATATACATTTACATATATATATATACATATATATATACATATATATATACATATATGTATATAAATATATGTATATATAT